AGGATGGATTTCCAGGGCCTCCTGGGATTTCAAATATATCGGGATATCCTGGAGATAGAGGTTCCCCAGGTCTAGATGGAGTGCCAGGTAATTCATGCCTTTTTCCCATCAGACATCAATAAAAGATTAAGTGCAAGGTTGTGCCCTCAGTCAACAATAGAAGATTAAGTACTGGGTTAGAACCAGCTGTCATTGTTATTTCAGCCTTGATTCAGTAAAATATCCCTATTAAACACAACACTAAAGTGCATGAATAATTGTTGGACAGAACTAATGGTACATCAAATAATAGGGACAGACCTCTTGAATGCAAAAGGCAGTTCCTGCAGGTTGTCCTAATGGAAGTGTTTGATTTTTGTGCAAATAACAGATTTAATCATCTAGAATTCTCTTAACAACTTTCTGAAGCATTACAATAAATTACTACTTCAAAATGTGAGGTCTGTGGCAGACTTGCAAGTCTACAGAATATTTTCTTAATAATTAAAAAAAATTTCCTACGTGAAATTACCATGCAAACTAAGTTACATTGGGAAGCATCAGCTCCTCTCTCTAAAAGTCCATATATAAAGTCTCACATATATGAAAGCCACTCTGTGTGTCTCAATATTTAGAGGCTGATATACCTGTTGTTTACTGGACTGCACAGTCATTTCAGCCTGTAATGCCACTGTGAAGAGCTTGTAGCAGAAATTCCAGGCGTCCCACTATAATTTTCATATGATGCTTGGAAATTTTAATGTAAACTCAACAAAAACTTACAATGGGCAAAGTGGCTGAAAACCAACAAAATACCTAGGTAATAACATGGAAAGTTAGTTGGCCTAACTCTGCATACTGATTCCCATGCCCCAGGCAGTCATTCGATATAAAATAAAAATAGAAGCAGTCAGGAGACTGGGGACAGGAACACCATCTCCCAGCTCTGACCTTGCCACATGCTTCTTGCATTTGTATCCACAAGTGCTACAGCTTCAACAGACAGCACAAGAAATCCCCAACTCAAAACCCTAGTTAGTAAGTCCCTCCATCCTTGGAAGCAAGGTCAAAATGTCATCTTAGGCAGCAGAGGTAACTGAAAAGAAACTTGTGAGGTTTAGCTTCAGGCAATTCTGGGAAAAAAAAAAGCTGTCCCCATGATTCCCAAGCAAGTATGAAGCAGTGATTTGTATCCAGGTGTGCCACTGAAGCACCAAGACACATGGAACAGTAAGTCCTTGCCTTGTTTACCACCTGGCACCAAGGTACTTGCTGCTCTCTGATTTCTCTCTAGTTACTTGGAGAATTCAAGATGAAGCAGCAAGACACCCAGTGAACTGCGGCATTTTCTGGCAAAGGGATAATTCGTTGAAGGCTCTATCTCAGCAGGCACCCTGCTTCTGCTGAAATCTTGCTTGAGATGACACTATGCTTTGTGGGAGCTTCATGCTCTGATTCCTGTGCCAGCCTGAGAGCAGGAGTGCTGAATAAGTCTACTGGGGAGCTAAGCATTAGCTTCCCACTTAAATTAAGGAAATAAAACCTGATGGGATGCAATTAGAAGTACTATTATTTCTTAAGTATGAACAGATTACAAGCTATCTGTGCTCTGAACAGGCTATCCAGGACTACAGGGGCAGCCTGGAATACCAGCTCCACCAGGAAGCAAAGGAGAAAGTGGACAGATAGGTGTGAGTGGACAAATTGGCCCAAAAGGAAGTAGAGGTGATCCTGGACCAGAAGGGAGACCTGGCATTCCCGGGTACCCTGGACCAAAAGGTAAAGATGGGAATTGCTGATCTTGGTCAGGGGCAGGGGAACCTCCTGTGCTACAGCAGCTTTAATACCATGACATTTGCACTTACTTGATCTGTGTTGAAATGCAGTAATGCCACCTGTCCTTTTGCATTAAAGGCCGTAAGGGTGAACAAGGTGTCATCGGCTTTATGGGCACAATAGGATTTCCGGGTGATTTGGGACCCATCGGACCCAAGGGAGACAGAGGCCTAACTGGTGAGTAAGTGCAGTCAGATGGGTGACTCCTTTCTAAACTTCTCATTTTGCAGCTCCACAGAGCCTGATCTAACTGGCCCTGCTTTGAGCAAGAGGTTGGGCTCAATGGCCCACAGTGTCCCTTCCAACCTATGTGACTCTGTGTGACTCCTGGCAAATGCCAGTGGACAGGTGCCTGAATTTAACATGGGGAGTCAACATTTGCCTTAATGAATTTATTTTGTATGAGGTGCCAATTCCAAAATCAGAGGCACTTTTTGGGTTAAAAGAGAGAATAATTCCTGATCTAAACTAATCCTGCAGAATAGACATACTGGATATTTGGAAATAGATGTTTAAAATCCTTCATTCCATCTCTACCATTGTGTATTTGTGTCTCCAGAAGCCCACCAAAAGATGGTGCTGCACCTCAGAGAGCTGTTGGCTGTTTGGGGAGAACTTCCTTATTTCCTGAGGGAGCAGTAGCATCATTCATTTCCTCCTGCTTATCTTTGTGCTCTTCAAGAGCAGACAATCACCATACACATGCACATTTCCCCAGTATAATAAATATAGCTGCTATACACATGGTGATGAGTTGCAGACCACAGTCCTTCTCTCACATATGCAGCCAAGTAACAGCAACATGTCCATGGATGAAAGCACATTAAGGAAAATACAGGGGGTGTTTTTAATCAAACTATCTCATTTTGCTTCCAATCACAGGCTTTCAAGGGCCTCCAGGCTCTCCTGGGCTGCCTCCTCTTCCTCCAAGGCTGGTTGCTGAGCAAGGTTCACCAGGCCCCCGTGGAAATATAGGACCTCAAGGGAGCCCAGGAGATTTGGGACCTCCGGGTCCACCAGGCGATCCAGGTAGGAATCGCACACTCAGAGTGAAAGCTCAGTTCCTTTTAGAAGAGTGAGGCCACCAAAGCACTGCTTTGGCTCTCTTCTACCTTAAATTCTGTGAGTCAGAAAGGAGAGTCAAGTTTTGGTCTTTCAAAGCTAGGGCTTGGCTTTTCTCCTCCTCCTAGCGTTCAGAATATAAGCAGAACAGGAAAAAGCTTTGACAACACTCACACTTGCCAAAGCAACATCAGATATGGATCTGATTTAAATCAAGACTGAACATCTTTGGTGGAAATGTGCACATCCTTGTGGATATGCTTTCAGCCCAGGGACTGCAGTGTTAGCAATGCATGGACCTGAGATCATGGACATCAGAGATGCGTGGTGGTAGCAAGAGTGAAAGATTAGGACTCACATTGTGGGGCTCATGTAGTGTTGATCCCAGCAACCTTTTCCAGTGAAGTCAGTGCTCTTTGCCTCAGGAAGCACCATAGGATCTTGGCTTTAGTGTAAATTGGTAGACCTGGCAGATAAGACCAAACATGCAAGCAGAGCACAAGTTAACAGAGTGGTAGCATGCTGATGTCTCTGCAGTCACTGTGCTTATAACCACTGTTGGTGCAAGGTTTCAGAGGCTCGCCGGGAAACCCAGGATTCCAGGGCAGGGGGGGCATTCCAGCTCCTCCCGGCTCCAGAGGTGAACAAGGAGCAACAGGGTTTCAGGGTCCGGTGGGATTTGAAGGTAAGACATCACACAGCACTTCTTCCCTTTTCCCATTTCACTGCCATAAATTGCGCTGTAGTTACAACATCGCTAGATGGGGAGGAGGGGAGGAGAGAGAAAGTTTGTGTCTTCACAGCTTCTTCCAAAGCGACAACTAACTTTTAACAGAGTTATCTTCAAGCAGCATTTTTGGATTAAGTTTTGATAGATGTAGATGTCAGTCCACTCATGTGAGTGAGTTTGTTCTGATCTGAGTGTTTTTTATATTGGTTTTCTCTGAAGTATTTCAGCCTAGTGTTTTACTGACAGTTACATTCATGGAAATGAATGGTTGGGTAAGTGGTACATGGATAGATTAAATTTAAAGGAACATATTTGTAAAAGAAATACCTGTATCCTTATTCAAACAAACAGTAGAAAGATTACTGTCTTAATTAGCTAAGTACACAGAGAAAAAGGTATTTGCAATGCATAGTTCTAACCATATGAAGCAAATGCAAACAATTAAAAAACTCTTGGTTAACCTTGGACTAAGAAAATCTTTTAAAGGAAACATATGCTCTTCTGTATTGTATAAATTATGCTCAAATTCATCAGAACTTTGTATGTGACTTTCCGTGGCTTTGATAGTGAAAGAGATCATCTTAGAAACCAGGGAGCCTGATCCAGGAGCAATCTACTTCAAAACCAACTGTTGTAATCCTGCAACTACAGCTCTTCTAACAATAATTTACCATTAGAAGAGGCATCATGCAATTAGGCTTTGCTCAGCTGGAATACCAGCTAGCATCAGAGCATTTATGGAAGCACAAACTCAGTTGTATTATTTCTTTCCCCCCCACTCTTCTAAGGTCAGCCTGGCCGCCCCGGTAGCCCTGGGCTACCAGGCATGCCGGGTCGCAGCGTCAGCATGGGCTACCTGCTGGTGAAGCACAGCCAGTCCGATCAAGAGCCAATGTGCCCAGTTGGCATGAACAAGCTCTGGAGTGGATACAGCCTGTTGTACTTCGAAGGACAAGAGAAAGCACACAACCAGGATCTAGGTACGTGCAGGTATTGCTGGCAGCAGCCTAAATCCCAGCTCTCTGGCTGAAATAAATAAATAAATAAAATATATATCTATAACGTAGAGAAAGCTGGGACTTCAGCAAACAGGCTTAGGAAACACCAACTTGAGAAGGTAAAAACTGTATGTCTGCATAGAGTACCCCTGCGAGAGCTTCTGCGAGTCATTACTGTTGTTCAAGCAGACCTGTAAAGCCAGCAAAACATTCTGGACCACAGGGTTTTACTGACATGTGCTTGGGAAGGAGCAGGAAATTGAAAATGTGCATTGTCTTCTGTGAGAATGGTTGCCACAATTTATTTTTTCTTTCTTTTTTAACAGGGCTGGCTGGCTCATGTTTGGCTCGTTTTAGTACCATGCCATTCCTCTACTGTAACCCTGGGGATATCTGTTATTATGCCAGTCGAAATGATAAGTCCTACTGGCTCTCAACTACAGCACCTCTTCCAATGATGCCCGTGGCAGAAGATGACATTAAGCCATATATCAGTCGCTGCTCAGTTTGTGAGGCCCCAGCTGTGGCGATTGCTGTCCACAGCCAAGAAGCATCTATTCCTCACTGCCCTGAAGGCTGGCGCAGTTTGTGGATCGGATATTCCTTCCTTATGGTATTTGTTCTCCAGTGTCACATTTTGTGTGGTGCTGGGTTTTAAGTTTGAGCCTTAGATACTCTTTTAGATCCAGCAACATCAAAACCATGCATCATACTGGGGAACTAGGGAACTACAAAACTAGTTTCTAGGAAGCAGAAGAAACAAGGTTTCTGTGAATTGCAGAGAAAATTGCCTTTTGTCACACCAGCATTTGGAGATCTTACTTTATGTACAAAAATAGTGCTTTGGAGCAGAGCACAGGGACAGCTGTGGATTAGCAAATAAAATTGCACTGAGGTGCAACAGTAGCCTACAAAGCATGTTCACAGCTAAAGATTGGGAATTACTTACATACTTCACTACGAAGAAGCTGATCTGGAGAAGAAAAAAATCCAAACTTTTCCTCTTCTTTTGGAAACTTAAAATCATTGATGTTTGGTTGAAGAGAAGCCAAAGTCTTTCACCTAGTCTGGAAAGAGAGACAGCCTCTTGTTGTTTTTAAAATTAAACTTCAGTGTTGTACCTCTAATGGCAACAGGAGCTGAGATGTATATCCCATGGCTTATAGGATCTGTTAGATCTTGTGATCTTACAGTTAGGAAATGGGATGTTACAGAAAAGCTTAGCATGAGGCGTGCAGTGCAATGCCTACTGAAGGGCCTGACCTGCTTTTCCTGCAAGACTGTACAGAGAGATCATGTAAGCACTGGAGGGCTTAACATGGTAAAGAGCAGATAGAATGTGTTAGTGAGTGCTCTGACAAATGCTCATTTTTCTGACTTGCTTGAAGTACATCAGAGTTAAAACCTGCACCAGTATGTCCATGTTGTTAACTCATTAGTGACCGGACTGAATGCTGAAGTAAACAAGGTTGGGAACAAAAAATGTATTTCTCTGGCAGAAAGCATCACAGAAGAACAACAGTCAATCTTTGCCACAAACCATTTGTTTGTCAAAAGCCAAAACCTTAAATTATTTTAGAAAATAAGGTAAAGAGAACTCTGATTTTTTTCATGTAGTTACAGGAATTGAAAAAAAAAAACACCACCACATTTTGAGAGGGCAGGTCAAATTTTTGACCAGCCCTATGTTTGACCTTTCTTTTGCTTCTATATAAAGCCCTGATACCAATCTCATAGTTACTTCACAAGAATTCCAAGTATTAAATAAATGTTTGCAAAGCACTGTGTAAACACTGAGCATTGTTAAGAGCAAAGTTGTTACCTTAGCAAGAATCTTTTGCCAGGACAAAGTCTGCCAGCACACAGTGAGAAGAGTTCACATTGTCCCAGCAAGCAAATGTGGGGTACACATTTTTGGCTCTCAGGCAACTGTGGAAGAAGTACAGCACACTTGGGGTTATCCTGGAGTACATACTGGTTTACTTCCCTGGCTTAAATTTGTCACCTCCTTCCCCTGGGTATGGCACAATCATGAACTCCTGCCCAAACAGCCTCTGAAGTCAGTAAGATTTCACAGAGCAAGGGCACTCCACCATTGTGCGTCCTGTAAAGGTAGGGTGGTGGAAACCTTGCAGAAGGATAAGCAGCCATGGCCAATGCAAGAGGTATCATGGGCATGGAGTTGGAGCTTGTACACTGAGTGTTAGGTTGCTCCCAAGCCAGGGCTCAAATACCATGCATAGTTTTTACTGACTGCTTCCCAGCTCCAACTGCACAGGCCTCAAAGCTGTAGTAATTTCTGTGGCTTTCTACCAACCTTGTTCTTGGAGAGGGATGCTAGGATGGTTTTGCTCCTGAACTTCATAGCAATGTCACAATTTTGTAAGAGAGCTGGAAGGCTGCAGCTTTGGGGTTTGGGTAGGAGGTTTTGGGGTAGAGGGAGTTGTTATTTGGGCTTTTAAAAAAAAACCAAACATCTAAGCCTCAACAATGTGTAAAAGACCAGCCAGAAATCAGAGTCCTTTACTTTGTTTAAAGATGGCCATTTCTGTTACTCATTTCTATGAACACAGTGGGCCTCTCGCAACATAAACCAAGCCAGCTACAGCTTGTGCTTTTATAATAAGGTGTTTATTAAAACATATTGGCTGTACCCAGACTTCTCCCTATATTTACAAAACTATTTAGCAACTTTATTTTCCAGCTGCTTTCCTTTATATTGCAAATCCCTTCAGTTTTCAACAGAAAATTAAACGGCTTCACTTAGAAATGCAGCTGTACAGCTCTTAAAGGGACAGAGGACATCTGTTTTGTTAGTGATGCCTTTGACAGAACAAAATTAACTTTCAGTTTGTTACCACAGTGCATGTCAAAGGGAATGGTTGAGTGGTGTAAAGATGCATGGTTTTGGTGTAATTTGCTGTCAAAGAATAAGCCTGTAATAATAAGAGAATTAGTTATACGTATAAAAGCTAATTTTTTTTTCCCCACAGTGCTCCTCATCTGTGATACACAGTAAGAAAGACTTTATAATTAGGGAAATTGAAGTTAGAGAGATGGTGGAAGGCTCTTCTCAGGGAGGAGAATCAAACAGATGAACAGGTTGTCCAGAGGGGTTGTGGAAACTCCACCTCTGAGGTATTAACAACTCAACAATGCCCTGGAGTGACTGAGGGCAACTTTGAAGTCGGTTCTGCTCTGAGCAGGGGCCTCGCTGAAGTGACTGACCTCCAGTGGGCACTTTCCACCTCAATCATATAGAATCACAGCATGGTTTAGGTTGGAAGGGACTTTAAAGATCATCTGGTCCAACACCCCTGCCATGGGCAGGGACACTTCCCACCAGACCAGGCTGCTCAAAGCCCTGTCCAACCTGGCCTTGAACAAGTGTTCAATCCTCCAATTCTAAGACTTCCAACAGTGAAAGTCTTAACTACGGAAAAGATGTTTGTCAGAAGAGTTTAAAGTGGCATCAACACATGGGCTAGCTCCTTTGTATAGCTAAAGCATAGTAAAGCAAAAGCCTTAAGCCTGACATAGTTGCAGGATTAGCCAACTTTCTGCTCTGGAGATAAGAATTAGGAGCAATTCTAGTGGTTTTTCTCATTTCCCACATGTAAGTTTTTGACAGCGTTGCCTGAGGTTGTACTCTGAACACTGCCCTCCTTGTCTCATATAGCACACTGCCGCTGGTGATGAAGGTGGAGGACAGTCGCTGGTGTCTCCTGGGAGCTGCCTGGAAGATTTCCGAGCAACTCCGTTCATCGAATGCAACGGCGCACGTGGAACCTGTCACTACTTCGCAAATAAATACAGCTTCTGGCTCACCACCATCGACCAGCCCTTCCAAAGCAAGCCCTCGGCAGATACGCTCAAGGCAGGACTCATCCGAAGCCATATCAGCAGATGTCAAGTCTGTATGAAAAATTTGTAGAAGCCTTTCCCGGTATAAGGAACCTGCTTATCGTGTGGGTCTTATACAGTGGGACCTTCTATGATGGTTAGATGTTTGAATAAATCACATTGGTGCTTTTCTTAACTTATTACCTCAAAAGCTGAATGGAAAGTTAATTTTTAAAAGTGTCTGTAAAAGCAAATTAAGTGTAACACAAATTAAGTCTAACACACAGATCTAGTGCTGTGTTCTCATACTATACAGTATATACGCATTTTTTTGCTAGTCTAACATTATGTCATTTGCCAAATGATACAAATACTCGCAGCTTTGAAACACCAAAGAAACTTCAGTAATAAATGGCTACCTTGGTCAGATACACATCACATTTACTTTAAGAGAATATATGTATCTTTTCTATTTACTGTATTTGTCACAACAGTAAATGCTAACAGCTGCAGTTGTAAAAAATTAACACAGGGTGATCAAAGTGCTAAACGCTTGCAAAATACTGAAAATATGCTCTGGAAAGTGCTTATGTCTAGCACTGAAACCTATCTTTGATGTCAGTATTTTATGCTTGGGCATTTCAAAGACACCCAAAACAATCATCTTTTTATTGTATTTGGTTGCGTTTTTTTTCAAGCCTTACCATGCTTAAGCACTTAACCACTGGCAAGAGCAGAGAAGCCCACAGGCCTCCAAAAATTACTGACCACTAAATGCAACTCTTCCTATTTTGGTAAGGAGACTATATGGTGAAGAGCAGCATATTATTTAACAAGCTTGCTAATTTTTTCCAGACATACCCCAGGCCAAAGGATCATTACAAAGGTCTCTTGCTCCACTGTGGTGTGGAGGTTTGTGTGTCACACTACTCACGCAGCAGTGGCACCAAGTGGATTTTGCACTGCAGCTTTTCCCCTCTGAAACCAAGCCACTCGTTGTTAACAGATTTTTAACCACGTGTGGCTGAAGCTGCCATCGTATCTATGGCAGGTTTTGCAGGGGAGTGTATTGCTCGATGCCATATGGCCCTCAAACACAGAGCTTCCAGCCCTGCCAGTTGCCTGTCGGAAGGCACACTGCCCTGGCAGCTGGGGACATGTGGCAATGTGGTGACCACCATCCCAATTTGCATAGAGCCATCCTTGCAAAAGCAAAGGGGAAGGCAGCAGGGCATGTATTTAGCACCGTCTTTTCCCATAGAGAACTAGGTTATTGCATGCCAGGCTTGATAAATGGCCAGAAAAGCTACCTTCTTCCTTCTACAGAAAAATGCCGTTTAGCCCATAGTTGTCTGTCACCACTGCAAGAGAGGGGGGCAAAAAGGATCAGCTGCAAATTTCCTATTCACTTAAACACTTACAACTGAAATTGAAGAGACTTTTATAGCGATGACAATGATTTTTCAACAGTTCACCTCACTCCTGCTTCAGGTGCTTCTTGGCTTTTGTAATTACATTCCATCCTCACTGTGTCATAAATAAAACCTGTTTTTTTTCTACACTTCTACTTGTTGATGATTTCCATTTTGTAAGCAGTGGTTTTCTGTACAATGCGTATGGACTGCCCTGTTTTATTACTTGGTTTGCACCTAAGGAATTAAGAAAGCACTATTAGAAAGCTCCCTCCACTGGCACTTAAAAGGGTCCAAGAAGCTGTGTTTCTAAAATCGCTTGTTTAAGCTGAGCCACTGAAATAGTATTTAATCAGTTTTAAGGAAGAACAAGTTAAGCCAACAAATTGTGATGTTGCAGATTAAAGCAAGGTATTATACATGCTCTACAATCTTCAGGAAACCAACATTAACCAAACATGACAAGTGTTACCTCTGCAAAAAATAGAAAGTAGAAATTAAATTAAAGGATTTTAGCTAGCACGCTGTCTAACCTAGATTAGGTGTACATATAATTAGATATATCCATAAACAGAGAAATTACCTGAGCTTGGAATGAGCTCTCTGGCCATGCTGTAGCTGTGAAAGGTAGCCTCTGAACAAATTAATCACATGCTAATTGCTCCAGCTAAGCAAAATACAATTGAAAACACTGCAGTCGGCATGAGCCAAACATAGTCCACATTTGCAAATTCTTTTAAATTACACATGGCAGTAACGAACACTCAAGAATCATCAATTAATTTACCTCTTCCAGGTGTTGCTAAAGATCAGTGGTTGTGAGATGATCACACAGTTATCACTTGCGGTGTTTACAGTGTGCAACTCCAGCAACGCAGCACATTCAGGGTTTTAAGAGAATTCAAGTGGAAGTTATACAAGTCTGTAAAAACTGATGATTTCAACAACAGCAGCAAATTATTTGGATTTTCATGGCTAATACATTGCCATAATCTTCCCACACAGTGAATTTTTTTGCATATAAAACTTTTAACAGATAGGTCTTCCTCTAACAGTTGCTGTGTCTCCTAATTTTCTCTGACTCATATATGCTGATCTTAATAAGGTTGTTCAGCCTGGTATCAGCACTGCATTGAGTTGAACGCTCAGGCACGGTACAGGAAAAAACAAACAAACCACAAAACCCCCACATGGTGCCACATGGACTTGAACTTTTGTACTTTGTTTGTGTACGTCATGTGCCTCAGGTCTGTGTACTCGTACCTGTGTTTCTCCAAAGCCTGCGTAATCGCTGTTAGAGAAAGGGAGGGAGCGCACACATGCAAACACAGGGAATACTTGCTACAGCCAGAGGATTTCACCTGGTGAGTTAACCTGGAGCACTGCATGGAGAGAAACTGACATTCAGACTGCCTCTTGGCTGCAGGTTTACCTCCTTTGCTCTGAAGAGAGGCTGAGTTGAGGTTGTTCAGCCTGGAGAAGGCTCCAGGGAGACCTTATTGAGGCCTGTCAGTACTTAAAGGCAGCCTATAACCAAGGTGGAGAGAGACCATTTGTGAAGGCCTGTAGTGACAGTGGTTTTAAACCGAGAGTAGGTTTAGGTTGGACAGAAGAAGGGCATTTGTTATGATGAGGGTAGTGAGACACTGGAACAGGTTGCCCAGAGAAGTTGTGGATGCCCCATCCCTGGACCTGTTCAAGGCCAGGCTGGATGGGGCTTCAAGGAGCCTGCTCTAGTGAAAGATGTCCCGGGCCATGGCAGGGAGGGTTGGAGCTTTGATGATCCCTTCCAACCTAAACCACTTCACGATTCTGTGATCTCTGAGCCCACTTCCAAGAAGTTAAAATATTTTTATACAGGAAAACTCTCAGCTTCAGCAAAACAAAATCTTTTTAGCGGACTATAGTGCTCCAGCCTAGGATGTAAAAACCACAAGTGTTTTGGCTGGGTTTGACCAAGTCAAATCTTTTGCTCCAAAGTGTGCTGTTTGCTTCCTACACTTCCCTGTTTGAAAACATGCTGAAGTGTAACACAGATAGACTGAAGTCAACATAGCAAGGTCAGTTGACACTAATCATTTCCTCAGAGCTTATCAACCGGATCAGCTGAGTTCATTCACACCCTGTGTGACTGGGGTTGTCCATGGCTGCTGGAAACAGAAAATTTGCAAACAGTAAGCGGTAAATGTGACCCCCCACAGTAGAAGATATCAGATTGCTGCCAAAAGAGGGGCTGGGGGAGGGGGGTGTCACTGATGATGGCACCCCACTACAGCCAGCAGCCTCTGTACCCACACAGGGGCCAGCAGCATGCCCAGAGAGGGCACCTATGCCCACTGAGGGAGGTTTAGGGCCTGGCCTCACAGCCATTAGGGACTAGGCATGTGCCAGTGCAAGTTATAATGGATAAAAGGAACAAGTCACTGCATCCCATGGCCCACAAGCACAGAAATAAAAAACAGGCAGTGGTACTTCCCACCACCACATGAACAAGAGTATAACTAAGCTGAAGCAGGTGGCTCAGCAGCTTTGTCTGCCCCACAGACACCCAGGGGTTCCAATCTCCCTTTGTGGCCCCCACAAGACTCAAAGCCCTGTTGGGGTTATCAGGGGCCAACAGCAACCTTGGTCTTGCAGCATCGGGACCTGCGAGGGGCAGGATCATGCTGCACAAGTGTAGCCCCACAAGCAAAAGCAAAGAGACTGGTTCCTGTGTCATCCCTTTCAGCAAAAACACCTAAGTTGGAGCTTCTGGAAAGACTGTAGGGATTTGTCACATGAATTAAAAACTGGTGCAACTGAATTTCAAATACTTGTACCTTAAGAAGTGTTAGATGTTAAATTGCCCAGTTTTTTTCCTGTTCTGTACCTTCTAGGTGGAAAACACCTCCCAAAACCTGACCTTATAACCAGTGACTAGAGGCCTTGGCCCAGCTTCTACATGCTGCAAGTTCAAGCTGTCAGCAGATGTAGCAAAGCCAGGGGTGGACCTCTCAGAAGGGTGCTGGCAGATCGCTTTGGTTACAAACAAAACAGTTTGGAAGCTTGTTTGCCTCTTCCTAGTCCTGAGGGAAGACTAGATGCTTGCCTTGAAGTTGTGTTAATAGCTGGGAGGTTTTTAATTGTATAAAGTTTTAAATACCACAGAGCAGGCGCAGTTAAGTCTCTGACAGACTGGAAGGTGTTAAACTGCAAATCTCTAGCAAATCCAAAAAATGACAACCCTTAAACATACAGAGGTTTTCTCTCAAGCCATTACTCCCACTACGCATGTACTGTGCATAAACCTGAACGTGGTAGATAAAGCTATTATTCTGCAGGAAGTTGCTCGAGAGGAGCATACATAAGTAATACTTTAATTCATTATTCATTTAGAAATCGTATTTCCATGTAGTAAACAGCTATGATTTGAGCAGGACAGAGAAAAGCAACAGAGCATAAAGACAACAAGAAAATTATGCCAGAAGTATCCATAGGAAGATTTAAGAAGTCCCCACACAACAACTTGCAGAACTGGAAACACATGAGCTACACATTCGGTTGGTGGTTAGGGGATTTTGTTTTGTTTTGTATTGGGGGGTAGAAAGTGTTTGATTCTTGTTTCATTTGGGTTTTTTTGGTTTTAATTGTTATTTTTAACCTAGCAGTTCTTCACTCTGGTTACTGAGTCTCAGTGTGAGCTCCTGAATCACTGCATGCGTTCTTTGTAGCCCAGAGGGCTGGGAAGCTCTAGGAGCTTTATTGGGTATTAGCCCCGCCTTTTTACTGCAGCCCAAAGAGAAAGCACAGACCTCATTAGTGCTCCTTCATGTGCATTTTCTAGTCCACAAAAGGCAGTTTCTCTTCCCTTTCCTCCTGCATTAGCCAGTTTCACATCAGAAAACGCCAGTCTTCGCTTCCCTCGAGGTAGATGGTAACGTCATGCATAGCTGCTAAAAATCAAAGCTGCAGCTTTGCCCAGGCAAAACTACGGAGGAGTTCAGAGAGAGTC